TCTGAAATACCATTTTCTTTCTGTGCACTAGAAAGCCACAGGGCTTTCCAAATTTCATCTGTCTGGGTTCTTGTCATGATGGCAATACTGCAGAGTGCTGACATTTTTTAAGGACTCCGTCTGAGATGACAGCAACCCCTCAAATTCAGGAGCCCTTCTCTAACTGATAACATCTCACATGAAATGAAGTGTTTAAAATATAACAGCTTCAGATGCTTAATGATGCCATAAATGCAAGGGTGTTCTATCTAAGCTCTTTAAATAAATCCTGTCTTTGAAATAAAGGAAATACTATATTATAGCACTCTATGACTTTGTTATCTTTGCTATCCGTTTATCTGACCCTCTAAGTCCAAAGAAAGCAAAGACTGAGATTGATCATTACTACTGTGTGGTACACGTATTTGTGGATGAAGACAATACTGAAATGCACTGTTTAAGATATCAAAGTTGACACTAAACAGCTGCCTGATGCACATGCATGAACAGAACGGGGAGCTGGGTGCCGGGAGCAGACACTGAGCTTCCTGGATCAGAGACCCAGCATAGCAGTCCAGCCCAGCAGTCCACATGTTTTATATTTATGTCCCAGGAAAGTTAGCAGTGAGAGTCTGAAATGAACTTTGGGGACACTTGCAAACAGCTGTCATGATTACTAATGTGGGACACCAGGATTCTACAGTGTTTAGTTGGCAGCTGCGCAAACCAGTTCTTTTCCACTAAAGCCTCTTGTAATTGCTGGTCCCACATCCAGGCTGAGGAATCATCTCATGTGGTGTTTGGGAGGGAGGTAAGTGGAGTCAGGACCCATGTTAAGGCTGGGTGGGTAATAATCTGGTTCTAGTACAGGAGAAAGGAAAGTAGGTCAGGTGGGAAGGAGAATGACTGGATTTAAATTTTGTTTCTTGAGTAAGCTAAACATATAACATCATGTCAAGTTTCTTTGTTGTTTATATTCCATGTGCTGTCACAGAATATCTACTGAATTGTGGGGACAAAAAAGCCTGGGTTTTAGTATTGACCCTGCCCCCAACCAGACAGAGTCCAGGTTCCTCTGGGGTCCAAGGAGGGGGCTGGGCCATCAGGTGTCCCTCCACTGCAAAAGTTTGGGCACTTGGGTGGCCTAGTTTTTTTGCTGTGGACGACTGGGCCGGTTGTAAGACATTAAGCATCTGCAAGGCTCTCCCCAGGTACCCACGGTGGCCCCAGGACTGTAAC